TAGGAACTTATGCGACTTTTTTTTCAAGCGAAAATTCATGCTAGTTAATTGTGGGCAGAGAGATTGAATGAATCCAACCTCACTTACAAGTCAATCGAATTATTCTCGGACAGTCAAACGGCGTTGGAAGCTCTTGGCTCCCACCAAGCAACGTCCAAATTGGTAGCAAACTGCCAAAAAAGACTCTCCTCGATAGGAAGACTAAACAGATTGTCTCTGGTCTGGATTCCTGGCCTGGAAGGCAATGAAGCTGCTGACTCTCTTGCAAAGGAGGGTGCTGCAAGCGGCTTCATTTGACTAGAACCTGTCATTGGCATCGCTTTGGGCTTTGCCAAACAAACACTTAACACCTGGATGGCAAGAAGAGTTATGTATTCCTGGCAGAATCTTCCTGGATTAGCTAACTCCAAGGCATTTAGGGATGAACTACGATGTCTAACAGACCTTCTTACAGGTCACTGTCATTTGAATCATCACACTGAGAGACTTGGACTGTCGGAAGACAGTGTGTGTCTCCTCTGTCTGGAAAATGATGAAACTGCAGAGCATATACTTTGTGCCTGCCCCGCTGGGGACCGTATCAGGTTCTTTGAGTTTGGCAGATCCGTACTCTCACCATCTGACCTGAAAGACCACTCACCATACAAACTAATCGGCTTCGTTAAGAAGCTGAGTTTATTTGGCCGAGTGTGAATAGAAGTGAGCCACAATAAATCCTTATGGGTTGCGGTGGAGAGTCGAATAGACTCACTCACTTCAAACCTATCTACCTACCTACACTTGGGCTATTACTGATGAAAATGTATCCTGTAAGTTACCATAAAAATTCCTACTGAAACCACTGAAATAAAATTGATATAGTTTACGTATGGGAATATAGTCAATTTTGTACTGAGAGTGAACAGTTACAGCTTTTTGTCTAACATATAAAAATAAATTGCTGTTCGTGGGTCTCGCTTAAACTAGAGAACGACTGTACCGATTTGGCNTTGACCTTCTTTTCCTAGCTACTCGTAGGACTTTTATGGACAGAGTGGATTTAAATATTTTTTCTGACGCTGAGTCTACAGAGGAGATTGATGTTGAGCTTTTTCCAGCTTCAAAAACTGAACCTGGTGTTACCAACTCCAATAGAAGAAGAGAAGGTGAAGAAAGCGTTCAGGAGAGCATCGATCACACCTTTAGAGATGCAGAGGGCGCATCGTTTCGGGTGGTTAGTGAAATAGAATCCCCAATTTCACTAAAAACTACATGGACTCTTCCAAAGGTATCCGGCGGACCTACGAGTCTCCCGAGAGAGGAGCCTGCTCTGGCTGCAGGCCTTGTACAAAATAGCCAGTGGCGCCCAGAAACAGATAGACGTGTGACTTTTCAGCCTCAAAAGTTGGAGTCAGAAAAGCGCGGCAGTCAGGATGATTCCATAGACAGACTGTCGGCTATACTGTGCAAAGTAATTTGTCAAGCACAGAAACCTAATAATAGCCGTCTGGAAAGATTCACGCTTCCCACGTTTTCAGGGAATGAAAATGAGGATCCAGAAATTTTTAGTTCCAGACTTTCGGCGGAGTTAGTAAAGAGCGACATTCCAGAAGGAGATTGGGTACAGATATTGTTTGCCCACCTCACTGGGGATGCCTCCAAATGGGCAGCGATATACTCGCAGACCCAGATATCATGGTCTATGATGGTGGCAAGGCTCAGGCAAAAATATGCTAGCCCAAAATTGATTGCACAACTTACTGCGAAATTTTATGGAGAGAGCCAAGATCGGAACACAAAGGCTGATGTGTTCATTATACAAAAATTCGGATTAGCGAGGAGGTTATTTCCTGGTGTACCAGAAAGGGAGGTCCTTCAAGTTATAGCCCAATTGCTCTCGCCAGAACTGCGCTGCTTTTTCAGAGGCAAGCCGTTAGTAGATATCGAGATTTTGATCCAAGACGCCAGCAATATCGAGGAAGATTTGAGGTTGTCGAAGCAGGCATACCGAGGTATCAATCCTCTAGCTGAGCGTACTCAGACAGGACCGACTTCGAATAATGTAGCCCGCAATCAAAGCGGATGGAATAATAAGAGACCAAATAACTCTGCAGAAGTTTATCGTCCCCCACAGAGGGTTGCCGATCACGACAGGCCGGCACCTCGACAGACAGCAAATCGTCGTGAACGTCACAACAATGTGGCGGAAGTGATCACCTCAGAGCAGGTGGAAAACTAAATGGGGCCGGAGCACCTAGCAGTGGAGAGCCGGAGGCCCGAATAAGTGAGAACCACTGCAAAGACGCCCCAAGTTTTTTTGATTTGGAGTGCTATATGTCACTGGCCGAAGAACGGCCGCTGATAGGGAGAAATCTCCCTAGAATTCCCTGTACCATTAATTCAATGGTTATGTCTGCCCTCATCGATACTGGAGCCTCAATCAACTTTATCCAAGCCAGTGTAATAGCCAACCTCGATTTAACTAGGCTCCGGAACCCAGCTAACATCTTTATGGGATGCGAAATAATATAAGCCAGAGCTTAGGCCAAATTACACTAGCGGTGGAAATTGAGGAGCGAGAGTTTCAAATAAAATTCACTGTACTGACCCAACTACAAGAACAAGTAATATTGGGTCTTCCCTTTCTAAAAAAGACCGAAGCCACCATAGATGTGGGTAGAGGGTCGATTTATTTCGGACAAGTCCCAAGGCTGTGTATTTATTTTGAGATAAATCCGGCACATAGGGTTTTCCCAAAGAAAGGTATCCCGCTGGAGCTGGAAGACTCCCAATTTTCTCCCGAAAGCAAAGATAAGCTCTTACCGATACCAGAGCAGTTCCCTGACGTCTTCGAGGAGACGATCCGTCAGCCTCAGATCAAAGCGATAGTCCACAAAATCCGAGTAAAAGAGGAAAGGCCATTCCGTCAATCCCGTTACGGGAAGATGTCAGAAGTGCGGAAGGCAATCGTCCACGAAGAAATCTCCAAACTATTGGAGGCAGGAGTGACCGCCCGAAGCACTTCCCCTTATTGCTCGCCGGTGGTGTTGGTCCCCAAGAAAGGGGGGAAACTCCGATTTTGTGTAGACTATCGGCAGATAAATAAGTTAATTATAACTGAGGCCCCCTACTTACCTCCCATACAAGAGACGGTGCGCGAAATGGGTAGGGCATCGATCTTTACGACATTGGATCTCAGAAACGGATTCTGGCAGGCCCCGCTAGACAAAGAGTCTAGGAAATACACCGCATTCGGGGGACCGGATGGAGCAGTGTACGAGTTTAAGGTGCTCAGCTTTGGGCTCAAGAACGGGCCTGCCGCGTTTCAAAAGCTGATGTCCGAAGTCCTGGTAGGCTTTGTGGACAGTTTTTGCAAGGTCTACTTGGACGACATCATAGTGTACTCGCACGACCGGCAGGAACATTGTGGCCATTTGCAGCTAATCCTAGAGCGACTCCGGCTTCATGGGCTCTGGTTGTCCCTATCCAAATGCCATTTTGGGTCCAGTACCCTCAATTATCTTGTCCGAGTGGTCTCCAAAGATGGTAATAGACCGCAGGAGCAACACGTGCTGAATGTAAAGGACTTCCCAGCTCCCACGAATATTAAGCAAGTGCGCGCCTTCCTGGACACAGCAGGATGGCTTAGAGAGTACATCCCAAATTTTGCAGAGATGGCCGCACCATTAACTGATCTTATAGATAAAAAGAGAAAGTTTTCATGGAGCAAGGAAGCGCAGGAAAGTTTTCAAGCCATCAAAGAAGCTGTCTCACAGCCTTTAGAGTTGGCAAGCGATTTCCTGACAGGGATAAGGTGCCCACTGTCACGTTCGCACCAGACCAGTGGGTGTTGTGCAGAAACTATGATCGCAAAGCTCGCAAGAATTTTGGCCCAACTTGGACCACCCCTTGTCAAGTCCGGAGGCAACTCGGCCCCAGCACTTAAATCGTAAATAAAGGTGGTATAGATCGGGTCATCCACGTGGATGACTCGAGACCTTCGCCATCGTCGCGCGAAGGTCAAGAGCACCTTGACCCGCGTTCTGTAAATATTGAAGAATTAGCTTAGAATTAAGTTAGATAAGATCTCTCATGTAGTTATGTGGTTGCCCAGTAGAGCCTGAAAGGAGAGACAGGCAGGGAAACTGAGCAACGTATTCTATATAGTTTAGATGAACATTAAGTAAGGGGGTTGAAATATTGTAACTTTAGTAAGTAAGGACCTATTGTAAAAATTGTTGAGATTTTGTTGATTTTTACCCTAATAAAGAACACTTCTCGGCCTTTGATCAAAGAAACTGCAAGCGACATCTTAGAGCGGGGGGGTGTTACCAACTCCAATATATAGTTCGACGATCGACTAATCAGATTAGGACGAATGATGAAGAATAGGTGGGCGGAGCCTTAGCGCGCGCTCCGCGGATAAATAAATATAGCGCGTTTAGCAGGCTAGACAGCTTCAGTCTGAGACTCGGGCTCTAACTTAATAGAGTGATCTTCGCGAGAGAATATTATTAGCAAAAGACTATAATATTGGAAGTTGGTTAAATAGTAGAAATATTGTAACAGACTTGGTTCGAGGAGGTCGCTGAGCTACAACGTACGAGTGATAGTGTGAGGCGGTTTAGGATTCGGATCGAGAGGGCCCGAGCGAACCCCGATCCAACAGAATATGAGCAGGTGATCCTACACGATTTCCGGATGGAAAACGACTTACTATATTACATAGGACCTAACCAGGATGCCAAGAGATTATTGGTCCCAAGGCGCTGCTGGGATAAACTGATCAAGCGCTATCATGACCAAGCCGGGCATCCAGGGATTGAAGAGACACAAAACCAGATCAGTAGGCATTTCTACTGGTCAAATATGAAAAAAACAGATTTCGGCATATGTTAATACGTGCCTCACGAGTGCGACTACCAAGCGAAGCCCTCCTCAGGAAGCCGCCCCTTTACGACCAAATGAGCCAGACCGTCCCTGGCAGATGGTGTCGGTTGATGTTCTTGGCCCTTATAATGATGGCTACTGATTGTTTTAGCAAGTGGGTGGAATTCCGCACGGCGGAGTCCGTCCAGTCTGCTACAGTGGTAGAGTTTCTTGCGCAAGAAGTATGCTATCGTTGGGGATTTCCGGAGGTGATTATAACAGACAGTGCTGCGATGTTCCTAGGCAGAAACTGGGAGCAGTTTTGCCAAAAGAACGAAATTATCATGCGAACAAGCCCGGGATACCATCAGCAGGCAAACCCTGTGGAAAGGCGATTTCAAGAGTTGAAAAAGATGTTGCGAGCTGCCTTGATAGGCAGAGATGAGTCACACTGGGAGCGATGCCTCCCAAAAATCATCTTCAACTTGCGAACCCGAACCAATGCTGCGTCTAACGTCACCCCTTGCCAACTCTTGCTGGGTTACGAACTACCTCGGCCTGGCGATTGGGACACTCCTCTACAAAGGAGGCGAAGGCCTCTGAACGAAAACCGTGCCCAACGCATAGAGGAAGCCCAGCAGAGTTCTCGCGCATATCGGAGCAAGCGATTTCCTGACAGGGATAAGGTGCCCACTGTCACGTTCGCACCAGGCCAGTGGGTGTTGTGCAGAAACTATGATCGCAAAGCTCGCAAGAATTTTGGAACAACTTGGACCACTTCTTGTCAAGTCCGGAGGCAACTCGGTCCCAGCACTTACGTAGTAAATAAAGGTGGTATAGATCGGGTCATCCACGTGGATGACCTGAGACCTGCCCCATCACCACGCGAAGGTCAAGAGCACCTTGACCCGCGTTCTGTAAATATAGAAGAATTAGCTTAGAATTGAGTTAGATAAGATCTCTCATGTAGTAATGTGGTTGCCCAGTAGAGCCTGAAAGGAGAGACAGGCAGGGAAACTGGGCAATGTATTCTGTATAGTTTAGTTAAGCATTGTTATCCTTTACAGTTGCAAATTTTAGTTTTTCTCCAGGAACATCTTCTCCTGTCAAAGACATTCTTTTTTAATTGTAATTTACCATATGAGGCCGCGAGAACCAGAATGGCCTAACTGACGATTTCACGAAATTGACGTTCTTACAAAAATGTACTGCTTATAGTATTATGTTTGTGTCCAAAGTGGCCTAAAAGTTGTTCACATATTGTATCATAGATGGCAGCATTATATCGATTCCCTGGTTGCGAAAATCGAATTAAATCGTGGTGCCACAGTGACCTATATCACTTAGGCTACTATGGTATTGGTGAAAACAACTCGAATCATAACACCTATTCTGACAGTAGGTAGAAGTTAGGTTAGGTCCATTTTTATGTGTTGACTACCATTCCATCTGTTTTGAAGAACATATTTACGATATGAAATCATATCTATCGTGATAATACTAAATATTTCCAACATTTTCATTAGCATTGTCAAAATCCAATGTGCTATTCAAAAACGTTCTCCGAAACATGGTGAGAATTTATAAGCGGAATGTTCACCTTTTCTTTAGTTCTCATGTATGAATATAACTGAAAATTAAGACCTTCGTTATTATTATTATTCATATGAATCCGGAATTTCCACCTGTATATAGCAACGTACATACCTACAATAAAAATATGCCAAAAACGATAACAGTGAAAAATAAAAATATTTTAAACAAGTGAACTGAAGGTGGAAAATTATGTTACTGGGGTTTGAGCATATAGATTATTAGTTAGATAGTTAGATATGAAGTCGTTTCTTCATCACAAGGTCTGTTAGAATATATAGATAAAATGATTTCTATCATAATCCTTATACAGAATTTGTCAATAAAAATAGAGTTATCCAAAGAAATATATTTCCTTCCACATACATTTCACAGTCCTTAGTTAACTCAGTTTGAAGTTTGGAAGGAAGAGCTACTCTAGAACAAATTAACTGAAAGAGCATCTTTCCAACAAAATTTCTGTTGGATATATTTCAACGTCCTTCGTGGTATTAGCCAGGAGAATACTTGTTTAATGATAGGTGTCAGTCCCTCAACCTAAAGTGTACATAACTTGGGACTGGCCTGAACAAATTGTTCTTTTAGTTGATTTGATTCACAGCTAGTCTTCAAATATATCAAGTAAAGGCTACTCCAGAAGGTTATCGATAAAAATATCATCAATTGATTTCCTCCAACTCAGCTGGAAGCTGATTTGACTTGGTGAAAATTGGCAATCAGTGCATTCAGATCTGGCTCTTCTTGCTCGCAAGTGTAATGAAATTTACGCTCAACTGCTATTCAGACTTGAAGTTGTATAAGCTGAGTATAGTGTTGAACAACACTCATCTTCATGGTTTTAAAACTTTTTTTTAAGTGTTGTTGGAGTTTCCTCATAACAAATATTATTTGATTATCATACCGTTCATGGTATAATCCAATGAGAAATTGCCCGGGATGTGAGAGTTTTCGATAATCATCTATGATATCCAAGTCTCGTACTCAAATCAATCTTTATTGTATTTCAGTTCAAAACATTTCAACTATTCCAGATATTGAACGAATATATCAATAAATTCCAATGATTCAGAATATGTTTGTACATTTCCAATCATTTATGCAAAATCAAGTATATCACTTCAATTTCATTCCATAACAGAAGCAATATCTGCTCTTGACATGAGGGCTTGCGAAACGATCGCTAGATTGATACTGACGAATATATTGAAAATCATCTCATTTGGATCAGGTTTTGCTGCTAGCTTTTTCAGTTTTCATTTGAATCGAAATGATAATCAGAGAAATTCATAATTAGAGGAAGAAATAAAAACGCTTCGAAAAATTGATCTTGATATAATGATATGTTATGTTGCGAAAAGGTTATTAACTTGATAGGTGGAATTGGAACTTCTGGCGAGCTTCTGATTGGACCTTCATCAGGAGATTCAAATATCTGTTGTGAAGCTAAGCTTCGACATCGATCACCGAACGCGTTTCTTGTCCTGTATTTCACATTACTTTCATAGCGGAGCAACTAGATGGAATCCTGCTCAAAAAACACAGGATTTTTGATACAACTGTTTTACTCGCCAAAGTCTCATCAGTGGTGATAGGCTGAAAACGAATAGATTGCCAATCATGAGATTGACTGAAAACTCAATCCACGAATGTCAAAGATAAATGAGGTTCCCTCAAGCGATCCGTTGTAAAACTAAGCTTCAACAACGACCGCCTATCGAGTTTTTTCCCATAGACGCCATCTGTGGAATCGACAGATGACTCAAGAAGACTCAGAAGAAGGAATTCATTGCAAAGCCAAGCACATCGACAGCAGAGACAAATAGAGACCGGTCGATGTCGAAGCTTAGCTTTGCAATGAACCGCCTTGGGGAGGTTTGTTTTTCTTTGATATTTGTGAATTGAATCTTCGGTCAATCCCGTAGATGACGACTCTGAAATTAGAGATGTCATCGACGTGTCCGTTGATGAGAGTTGTGTTCAGCAAAGTTGATGAATATGCTTTCACCTAGTTGTTTTGCAAGGAAAGCTGAAGTGAAAGACAATGGATGAATTTTGTTCAGTGCTCAACGTCAAAGACTGTGCTTGTAAAGTTTCGCCTTGGGAGGGTCTCGTTAATCGATGAAATTCGTAGATTGAGTCTTCTGTTTATTACATAGATGTCGTCTTCGTATATGTAGCTGTCATTAATTAACTTCTAAAGGTTTTTTTTAAGGACAGTTGATTCCAGCAATGCAGTCGTGGTTCAGCATAGCACTACTGATGAAAATCTTGGCCTGTAAGCTGTCCGGTGTTGGATTACGAATGCTAGTTTTATCAAGCACAATGAATTTACACCAGAAATATATCTATCTAGGTATCTATACTAATATAAATGTGGAAGTTTGTGAGGATGGATGTTCGTATGTATATGGCTCACTTACGTCATACAGCTTTATCTTTATCTTACAGCTTATACAGCTTTATCTTGAATAGTTCTAAATAAAAGTCCAGATAGTATATATCTACTTCTTATGTGGTAGCCACTATAAGCAGAATACTGAGCCATGAATACAATTGAACTGGATAATTTTTTCACAATACACCCTTCAAAATATCTGTCAAATTCTTCAAACAAATTGATACAATCGGTGTTTCAAATATTCAATATATATGAACTTTGTGATTTGGACACACTAAGTAATTTGAACGAATCGTTTGAAAGTTATTACGATAAGATTAACTTGACGTAGCGCAGTGAGCCATGACGCGTCACGTCTACTGTAAGACGACAGGACCATGCGCAGGTATAGAGGGGCGGTCTGAGCAATGAAGCGCCATCGCCGAGAATGCGACCTTAACGCGGGCAGACGTCGCTGACGGATGTATTAGTTGGCATATTTTTCTCGTTACTGTATTTTTGAAGCCCGTTGGCACGGCTGGAGACGAGACTCGCACCGTACCACCAATGGAGATGACAATCAGAACACGCAGGGCGCTCCACAGAATTAGGCCCCTGAAGTCACAAGAACTTGTGACTTCAGGGCTTGTTTGAATGCGGAGTTTCATAGTGTTCTAACAGAAGAGGCTGATATCTGGCAAATCAACACCGCCGTGTATAACGTCGTCCAATCGCTTTCCGAATCGGAAGGACGAAATCCCGGCCTTGCGGTTCGGATGATTGAACGGCGTGTACACAAGATGGAGGCTAAGATCACGTCGGCGAGACAACACGCGTCTCGTATCCAATGTGTGATAGACTACAGGGCGGCCAATACGCCTTTCACGCCCGCAGTGCGGCGAATAGCCGCCAATCTACGACATATCCATCACACTCTAAACCAAGGCGTGCTGTTGACCACCAAACAGCACTGCCTTGATAGGATACGAATGCTAGTGGCTGCTAAGAAGTCACTAGTGAGGCGAGCGAGAAGTATCGCGGAAAATCTTAGGTTCCGCGAGAAACCTTCTCGCTTATTCCAAGAGCCTCCACGTGTTGTGTATAATCCGCCGACTGCTGATCAGGTGGAATCCTTCTGGAAGGATATCTATGAACACCCACAGCCACTCAACTTAAACACTCCAGCCCTAGCGCAGTTCGAAGCTTTCAACATAGAGCTTCGTCAGCCTGAGCTCAATAAACTGCGCAACCCGATAACCCCGGATGACGTTCGAAGAGCCCTTGTTGGTTCCAAGAACTTTGCGGCTCTAGGCCCAGATGGGCTGAACACTTATTGGTGGAAATAACTACCAAGTACCCACCGCCATCTGGCCTGAGGTTTCAACTCATGGCTGGACGGAGAGCAGCCGATTCCGGATTGGTTTGTCGAGGGGCGGACCGTTCTCATCCCCAAAAGCGCAGATTTGTCGATTCCTAAGAATTGCAGACCGATAACATGCTTGAATTCGTGTTATAAGTTGTTTACAAACATTTGACCGAGTGTTCGAACGGATATATGAGCAGAGAGGGTCGAAGAGAGGAGTCGCTGGATGTAAAGAGAACCTGCTCATCGATAGATGTGTAACACAGGACTCGATACAATATAATCGTAACCTCTCTATGGCCTGAATCGATTACCGTAAGGCATTCGATACAATTTCGCATGAGCTCATCTTGCATTTGCTCAGATGCCTTGCGGTACCCGATAACATAGTGAGATGCATTGAACAACTGATAACACTTTGGCGAACTCGCTTCACCATAACATCTGGTCAAGCAGGAGTCCAAACAGGGTGGGTCACTTCCAGAAAGGGTGTATTTCAGGGTGATTCCCTCAATCCCCTTCTATTCTGCATCTCACTATTGCCATTATCCGTTGCGCTCAGAAATACTCGAGGGTATTACTGTGGCACCCCGGAAACCGGAGGCACA